AGATGCATGCAGTAGAACTAGGGTGAAATGGATGAAGCGGAAAGAAGCGAGTGGTGTGTTGTTTGTCAGAATAATTCCAATGAAGCTGAAGGGAAAATTCTAGAAAACAGCCATAAGATCAGCTATGATGTATGAAATTAAATGTTGGGCAGTTAAAAGGAGAGAGGAACAATGAATGCATGTGGCGGAAATGAGAATGCTTAGATGGATGAGAGGAGTGTCACAAAATAATAAAATTAGGAATTAGTGTATTAGGGGAAGTCTAGAGTTGGCACCAATTGTTGCCAAAATGAGAGAACATCCACGTTAATCACCCAATACGGGGAATTGCTGATCTGCTGGTTACTGGAAGTAGTAGGAGAGGAAGACAAAAAAAACCTGGGGGAGACGCTTAGGCAGGATATGTTGGTAAAACGTATTAATATTGATATGAGCCAAGATAGAAAATTAGGGAAAATATAATTAGTGAAGCTGACGGAATCAAGGAAGATGTGTGTTTCTTTGCATTCATATATTGTTTTTTTTTGCTGCAAAATCCGCAATCACGTAAGTATTTGAAGGAAAACCAGAAATTTCCTAACATAAATTGTTTATTACTTAATATTTAAAGAAATAATTAGGTTAATTTTGTAAGTAACTAGAGCCAATGTACAAATAACAAAAAAAATAAAACTTTAATAAAACGCTAAAATTTTATTAAAATATTCTATTTCCTGAAAAATTTGTCAAAGTGGAAATTGCTGATACTGCTTCTAGACCCCTCTATTGACGATTAAAAACGATTTATATTTTGAACATCCAAATTATTTGTTTTAAATATAAAAACTTCACACCTTGACCGTGACAAATTACACTCAAAACCACAATGCGATTTTAATTAATAATCTATACCGGAAATACGTATATCCCAATACAATTTCTTCAGAAGGTCAGCAATTGATGCCCCGCAAAAAAACCAACTAAAAAAGTCGCACCACATGCCGACAAAAAAATCAATATTCAAAAAAACCAAGGCCCAATCTGCGATGACCGTTCTTTCCGAGAACTAACGGTACCACCCTAAAAAAATAAGGGTGGTTTGTATGCGGAAGAACTCTTGAAGGTATAACGGGATTCCTTTGTGCAAATGGTCTCGTCCTTACTTAACTCATTATAGCTTTTTAGAGCATTTGTGAAGGCCGGCTGGTGAATGTAATAAAAATACATCTGAACCGGTTAACCCTTTATTATGTAAGTTAATTGCGTCATTAGGTGGGCAGGAGTTTAGGGATGAACCTTTTTTCGCAGATTGAATGGCTGTGAGTGTCTTGACAGGTGATAGTAGTCGGCAGTTGCAGAATTTACTATAATTTGGTGGGAGAGTTAAGAAAAATAAATATGTAAAAATGTTAAAGAATTTATTAAAGATTTTAATTAGTAATATAAAAAAGTTATATAATATGATGATATATAAAATACAGAATATACATGTATTGTATCCAATACACTGTATCCAGATTGTATCCAATACATGATATATCCAATATAGCATCTATTTTTCAAAATTTGTTTGGTAGACTAGCCACGAAGAATATCCACATTAATTTTCAACTTCTAATTCAATGATGCTTTAATATCAACATGGAACTGATTAAAAAAAATTATCATCATATTTATATTCCAGTAATGTACTAAAAAATCATCAGAAAGATCTTCGGTCCCTATCACGATCCGAATACTAACCAATACCGAATGAGAACAAATGCCGAGGTCAAACAAATGTAAGTATAGTGCTAGCGACGTAGTCCAAGAGATTAAATCCCAACGTCTAAGATGGGCTGGCCATGTTCATAGGCTCCCTAATAACCGCCTTACCAAGTTAATCTGGGAAGAAGTCCCGACAGGGAGAATTCCCTTAGGACGTCCACGAATGCGATGGAGAGATAATATATGGTCAGATTTGAGAACAATGGGGCTACCCACTGACTTAAACATCATGGACGACCGTTCGAGAGGGAAGCAAGTTGTGCAGTCAGCCAAGACCCACCCCGGGTTGTAGTGCTACCAGAAGAAGAAGAAGAAGAAGTAGGGTACCAATAAATTAATATAGATAAAACATAATAAAAATAGAAGTAAATTTAGAAAAACCTGGAATATAGACGCAGATAAACTAAAATCTAATACAGTACTGAATAATATAAAAACCAATTAAAAACCGCGAAAGTATTAAATCTATATAAACTTAACTTGTTGTTTTCATAGTGTTAAATAAGCTTCCTGTTCATCCCATTATCTCGTTCTTGATTCAATTATTGCTCCTAGGTATTTAAAATGTTCCACTTGTTCTAGTTGTTTTCCGTGTAATTGTATTGCGTGTGTCTTTCTCTTATTTGAAATTATCGTTGTTTTTATTTTCTCTGTATTTATCTTCATATTTATGTATGTTAGTTCTTCTCTTAGAATTTCAAGGTTGTTCTGCAGGTCGTCTCTGTTTTCTGCTATCAAAACCATGTTGTCTGCAAATAGAAGCTCTGATAGTTGAGTCTGTTTCATTTGCCAGTATCCTAATGTTAGTTTTCTCATTATCATCTTGGCTTTCTTTATTGCTTCAACCAGTACCACTGAGAATAGCAGTGGGCTCAACACGAATCCCTGTTTGACGCCTTGACTGGTAGTAAATTCTTCGGATTCCTCGTTATTGGTTCTCACCTTATTTGTATTATTATTGTGCATATCCTTTGTTATATCAATTGTTATCCTGTCAACCCCTCTTTTCTTTAATGTCTTCCATACGTCCTTTCTTTGGACTCTGTCAAACTCCTTTTCCAGATCAATAAAGCATATATGTATTTTTCTATTTTTATTGATTACTTTCTCACTTACTTGTCTTATTGTGAATATATGGTCTTGTGTGCTTCTATCCTGAATCCACATTGTGTATCTTCCATAGTTGGTTCTATTTGGGTGTTTATTATTGTTTCTATTATTCTTGCGAATACCTTCCCAGGAATACTTGATATAGTAATACCTCGGTAATTATTACAGTTTCTCTTGTTGCCTTTTTTGTGTATTGGTAGTATAATGTCTTTCTTCCAGTCCTGTGGTATTTCTGCACTCTTTATGATATCATTCATTAGTTCTTTCATGCTGTCCACTCCCTCTATTCCCATGAATTTTATCATTTCCGGAGTGATATGATCCTTGCCTGGTGCTCTGCCTAATTTAACTCTTTCAATTGCCTGTTCTAGTTCCTCCGTTGTTATGGGTTCTACTTTTTGTTCTTCATTTATTTCTTTTAGCACCACTATATTGTCTACGTCTGTATGAATTAGCTCTTTGAAATGTTCTCTTCATCTTTCCATTATTTGGTTTTCTTCTGTTATTACCTTTCCATTCTTGTCTTGTATATTCGGCATCATGTGTTCTTTCTTTTGTCTGAGCTGTTTTAATGTGCCATAGAAGAGTTTTTGATTTTCCCTATAATTATTTGTCATTTTTAGTCCAAACTTTTCCCATGACCTTTCTTTTTCTGCTTTTACAGCTATTTTAATCTCTTTTCTTATTCCTTTTTATGCCTCATAGTCTTCAGGGCGCTTTGTACTTAGATATCTCTTTCATTTTCCTTTTTTGTTCTTTATTTTACTTCGTATTTCGTCCGTCCACCATTCAGGTCTCCTCATGCTAGTATTTGCTATTTTTGTCTTTTCCCAAGTTTCCTCAGCAGCTATGATTAAGTTGGTCTTGAGATTTTCCCACTTTTCTTCTATACTTGCAGTTTTTGCTCTACCTTTCAAAATATTGTCTAATTTTTCTTGGAATATTTTCTTATATCTTTCTTCTTTTAATTTGTAGCTTTTTACTTTCTCATTTACTACCTTTCCCCTCTTTCCTTCCTTTTCTTTTGCTGTTCTCATTCTTATTAGTACTAGATGATGATCACTGCTAATCTTCAGTTTCGTGTCTTGTACTCTTTTTCATGTGTTGTTACTTACCAAAAATTAAACTATGATTGATTTTTCATTTCTGCTTTCTTGTACTCTCGTGTATTTGTGTACTTTTTTATGTTTAAATTTTGTATTTGTTATAACAAGTTCATTCTCTATACATATTTCTATTATTCTTTCACCATTTTTGTTTAGTATTTCTTCTCCTTCTTTTCCCATGCATTTCTCAATTCCATTGTTATTATTTCCAACTCTACCATATAGAGCTCCCATTACAATTATATTTTCTTCCCCATTGTCAATTTGCATTTGGAGCTCATCGAAAAATTATCCTTCTCTTCCTTTTTTGCCTCTTTATTTACTCCGTAGTCTGTTATTATTGTCCATATTTCCTCGTATATCAGTTTCATTTTCAGAGATAATATTCTCTGGTTAACATATGTTTCTTCTATAACGTATTGTAATCTATTCGGTGCAATTATATTATCCCTACGCCTTCTTTTGCTCTCTCCTTTGCATCAGCTCCTACCCAAAATATCCAATATCCTTTGTGTATCTTCTTAAAATCTCTTCCTTTCATTTTCGTTTCCGTTATTCCTAATATTTCTATTTTTTGTCTGATCATTTCTTCTACAAGTTCTACCTCTTTTCCATTGATGCTTTTACGTTCCATGTTCCCATTTTATCTCTCCTTTTTTCTGCGGTATATCTTTCATCTCTTCCTATTTTCATCATTGTTTACTTTGCATCGTGCTTTTTCCTATCGTTGTTTCCTCTTGTGGGTGTACGTTTCTAGTTTTTTGGTTGTTTTTCCAGTTCCTTTTTAATTTTGTTCCATCTCCATTCTTCTTGGTTTACTAACACCTTGTTGTAACCAATTTTGACGTCTTTGCCTTTCTCTTTTTCGTTTTTTGCAAAATTTCTTAGGTGTTTCTGCTTTTCTTTCTCTTCTCTAGTCAAGTCATCATTGATGAATACTTTCTCTCCTACGACGTTTTTTAGTTTATATTCTTTTGCCATGATCTCGTGTTTTTCCGTTTTATTTCTTAGTTCTATTACGCATGTGTTCTCGCCTATTTATTTAACTGTTATAGGTGCGATATCAATTTGAAGATGTTTATTAAAAAAATCTTTTATTCTTTCTTTTAGAATGCTTGGTTCATTTGTATCCATTTTTAGACCATTCATTACAATATTGTTTTTTCTTCTATTTTTTTCGATTATTTCGACTGCTTTTTTCATTTCTTGTAACTCTCTCCTTATTTCTGAATTCTCTTTTCTTATATCCTGATTTTCTTTTTTTAATTGTTCGTTTTCTACTGTCAATTTTAGTAGAGCTTCGTTTGTTTTATTTTGTTGGTCTTTAATTTCTCTTATTTCAACTTTTATTTCTTTCTGTTCTTGCTTCATATCTTTTTGAGTTATGTTCATTTTTTTATCATTATTGATAACTGGTCTAATTTCTCAGATTCAGTTGTTTGGCGTTTTGAAGAAGTTCTTGGTGTTTTTTTGCTGTTTAGAAAAATAAGAATTTAAATCAGCAAAAATTTGTGCCCTGGACCTTGTTTCTCTTTTTTATACATGCCGTAGCTCGAGCATCCATTATATGTCTGCTGTCTTAATAATTATTAAAGAAAATCTACAAAAGATCTATTGTATTTAAAATAAATTAAAAAAAATTGATTGTGTTATATAAATATACCATATAAAAATGGTAAAAAAAAACGACTTTTCGCCTGGACGACCACTTGAACCTAATTTTGAGGTATCTCATGAACGTGATTCTGCAAAAAAATCTCATTGGAATATTTTTCCGAGCAAAAACGAGCGTTTCTCCTTGTCTAATTTATTAAATTTATCATCTAACTACTGTTTTACATAGGTTTTTAATATTTCTGCTTCCGTAAGATTAGTCCTAGTGCCTTTTATATCTATTAAATAAAAACCTTTTTTAATTTCTATGTCTTCAACTTCTACTTTACGAGTTAAACATACTTTTTCCTATTAACAAAATGTTAAAATTATGCTAATCAATGTAGTATCTTATAATTGAAAGGCATTACAATGACACACAACTAATTACACCTAATATATAGATTATTATTAATTAAAAATCTTGAAAGTGAAACGTAGTTTATAGCAAAAAAAAATAGATTCTTAAGCGTAACAGGCATTTCGCATGCATGCAAAGAAAATGAATAACTTCCTTAATATCTAATCATTGTAAACTCCCTTAATTATTGCATGGCATGATAACATTCAGAAAATTACAGGGAAGCGTTAAGAATTATTACAAATTTCATTTTGAACACTTTTCTAATCATTTGTTAGTTGTTTTCGTATTTACACATTTTTTTTTTTTTTTTATTTAAAATTAACGTGTCTCGACAGCTTATGGTCATTGACACGGGTACAGTAGTTTACAACATTATACATATTTTATATAGGTATAGGTACAAGAATTTAATATGAACATTTTTTTTTTTATAGAAAGGTTAGAACAATAAAGCTTATCACTATGCACTGTTTATAGTAGCTGAAATAAACTTGTTTCTTTTAAAAATCTAAGAACACTGTCAAAACGGTTTGGAACACTGAGAATGTCTTTTAGATTTCCTTTTAGGCTGTGCTTGTTTCTGGAAGAGTCATACTGGCAGCAGTCCACTATCACGTGTTTGATGGAAAGGACGTTATTACAGTAGTGGCATACTGGAGGGTTTTCTGATGCCATAAGGTATCCATGAGTGAGGCGGTTTACACATTTAAATATGTATATATTAAGGGAATAGTCGAATGTTTATCAATAATTGCATTTATAGTTTTGTTTCTAGTCACTCAAAGAGTTTAAATGATTCATATGATCACAACAACTTATTATTAATCCTTCACCATTCTTATTGATTTTTTCTTCTCCAAATAGATCAACTACTTTTAGTACTGGCATTCATTCCTTATTCAGGAATTACTTCCTTCCCACTTCCAATGCTTTCTAGTTTAAGTACAAATGTAAATATATATAAATCGGTTTTAAAACGTTTTTCTACGTCCTCCGATACCTAGTTGCCACTCCTTTCGATTCATCCACAAGTCTTCTTCTTTTTTTCCTACCGTAAGGAGTTCACATTAAGACTTATTTTGGGAGACGTACCATCTGAGTTGTTGGGTATAGTAGACCAATATCGTCTACTATTGTATGTTTTACTTTGATAACTTCTCCATCTTCCAATATGAGATCCTGTTGTTTCCCGCCAATACACATATACTCGTTTTTTGGATATTGATTTCAAGTCTCCATTTTTTATACTTCTCGATTAATTTTCGAGTCATATACTCAATATCTTCATAATCTTGTGCTATCCCTAGTTGATCAACTTCAAATGACAAAGTGTATATGCTATTGTTGTTAATCGGCATTCCCATATTTCTACATTTGCGCTTCCACAGTTTTAGAGCCTGTTTAAGGTAAATTTTAAATAATGTCGGGAAGAGACAGCAGCCTTGCTTAAGACCTTTATTTATTTGGAATCCACTTGACAGATTATTTCCAACCTTTACCTTTGAGTGAGCAGTAGCGGACAGTTCCTTCGTCACATTTATTAAATTTATGCTTGTGTTTATATTCTCTAACGCTCCCTATAATTTATAATGTGGTACTCTATAAGAGTAAGAGTACAACTGGTACAACTAGTAAGCATACAACTGGGACCAATGACCAATGGGATTCTCAACAAGAAATAAAATGCCGTACCGAATAAGCAAGACAAGCATTTATCAAATTTAAACCGCAATCTTTCCTTTAATCTCCGCTACAGGATGGTTAAATGCTATGTATGGTCCATATTGTTATGCGGCAATGTTCCGCATACCATGGACAGATAGGGTGAGAAACGAGGAAGTCTTAAAAAAGGCAAATACTGAGAGAAAACTACTCAATGTGATCAAGGTACGAAAAATTGATTGGATAACTTGGCCATATTCTGAAAGGAAAAAAATACGCAATCCCTCAACTAATCATCCAGGGAAAGATTGAAGACAAGAGAGGAGTAGGTCGCAAACAAATGTGGTGGCTACGAAACATAAAAAACTGAAGAGGCATAAATAACACTGGCGATCTCTTGCATGCCGCAAAAGACAGACGTCTGGCCTTAAGATAATTCGCCAATGCACTATAGTTGCCTTGGGCACATATTGAGAGGAGCAAAATATGAAATACCACAGATAATCCTACAAGGGAAGATCGAAGGTAGGAGAGGAGCCGGCCGCAAACAATTATCCTGGTTAAGGAATATTAAAGAATGGACAGGAATACACAATACAGGCGAGCTGTGTCACGCAGCCAAGAACAGAATTCTAGTAATGAGATAGTTGCCTGCGCACTTTGGTGTATGGCATGTTAAGAAGAAGAAGCACTATAGGTACACGGCACTATAAGAAGAAGACGCTATAATAAGCCTTTCGTAGGTCTAGATACAATAAATGTACTTCTTGATTAACATCTTTTTTCTTTTCAATAAACTGTGTAATGCAAAACAAATGGTCAACAGTAGATCTACCTGCTCTAAATCCTGCCTGTTCGTTAGCGTCTAAGTCTTTATATTCGCTTTCTATTCTGTTTTTAATTACTTTTTCGTATATTCTACTGAGTTTGTCACGGTAATGCCTCTGTAATTATCACATTCATCCCTTCTGCCTTTTTTGTATATAGTGGATGTGAATGATGTCTTCCAGCCCATCATGTGAATGATGTCTTCGTTGTTATTGGTAAGGGCGAAGTTAAAATATTTATATTTTGTTGTTCGTTGCTGTCTTTAAATTGTGGTCTATCTTCCCTTAGGAGTTTCTCAAAATATTGGTCCCAGTCATCCATTGTTATTATTGACAATATGTCTCTCTTCTTATCTTGTCGTAAAGATTTTAAGACCCTCCAACTTTCTGTGCTTTTCCTTCCTCCTAGATGTGAATTTATTATGTTATAATCAGACAAGCGAGAGCTGGCGGGTGACCTGCTCGAAAATAGAAAAGGAATTATTCTAAGAGAGATAGGAGAGGTACTTAATCGCGATTATAGGTATATAGTATAGGTACTTAAACGGTTATACACGATGTACATGACTTAAACGGTGAACACTTTTCAATTTCTTCTACGCGCAACCCGCCAGCTCTCGCTTGTCGGGTTATACACTTTTGTTGCCATGTTTCATTTTTCTTCCGACATATTATTTTTCGTACTTTAGCTTGAGAGTCCTTGTAGATTATTTTATTCGTTATATTATTTGTATTTAGTAATTTTTATATTGGTCTCTTTGCTTCTTTATTTCTTGTTCTATTTCTTCGTCAAACCAATATGGAAGTTTTCTTTGATTCTGGATTTGGTATTCAATGGCTTGTTGCTGGCTTCTCGAGACACCTTTTTATGTTAGTGTAATCTTCTTCATTATTATTAAATTGTTTATTTTCCAACTTTTGATTTTATCTATTTCTGTATAATTCTCTCACGCTTTCTTGTTCTAGGCTGATTAGGTTATACCTCTTCTGTATTGCTTTCTCCCTTTCATTCCCATCTTTTCTTCTTTATATTTATTTACTCCAAACATGATCTTAGCTTTTAATAAGTGATGATCGCTTCCACAAGTAGCTCCTCTCAATATTCTTACATCTTGTACAATCATATTTGTCTTTTGTCGTACGATGGTGTAGTCTATGATTGATTTTAACTCTCTCCTATTTTGCGTCCATGTGTATTTGTGTTTTTCTCTGTGTTGAAAAAATACATTTGCAATTTTCATTTTATTTTGTTCGCATAATAATATTAGTCTGGTATCATTATCATTTATTGATTGTCCTATAACTGCGTTATGGGTTTTTTTCCAGTTCTGCTGTTTAAGTCTCCCAAGATAATAATTTCTCGAGATGTGCCGACTTTTTCAACCTCTAAATTCAATTTCTCAAAAAAATCGTTGGTAATGTTTACTGGTGTTTCATCATTTACTGCATATACACCCAAGATTTGTGTCCTCTAATCGAATGATTCACTTTTATCAGTCTCTCACAAATTTAAATCATGTCATCAAAATTAAACGATATCATAATATATTACAAACCATTTTCCAGTGATTAAAAACTGTGGAACTAGTTTCTGAATATTCTTTAAGAGATGTATAAATATTTCACATTATATTCTCACAAGGATGTCAATAAAAATTGATCGAAAAGTATTAAAAACCCTTTTATTTTTTATCACGGATAACAACCTTCCATTTTTTGCTCCTCTTGCTTTATATCTTTTAAAAATATTTTGATAACTACAGCACAACAGATCTAAAAATGTTACCGACCTAAGGCCATATAACAATTCACAGGTTGCGCAAGTAACCAATATTTTTAGGGTTGTTACTTTCAGATAATAAAAAAATAAAACAGCACAAAAGAAA